GAGAGAGAGAGAGAGAGAGAGAGATACAGATGTGATGCCGGTGGAGCAATCGTCTTATTCATTTACTTCTCGAATACGGTAACCCTCTAGCAGAGTTCAATGACCCACTCTATCCTTATACGCCAGCCCAGCTCACCATCGCGCACGCCGTCTCCCTAAACAATGCTCATCGGAACAGAATCGCTGCTCGATGCGCGTATATATAATTACAAAACCCACATCATTGTGTGGATTGAAGTGACGCTCCTGGAACGCCTTATCCCGCAGAGCGCGAGTCGCGCCATCAAATAACGGCAGCGCATACCGACACTCGCATCGCAAACGCAAACGTGGAAAAGGAGGGGAGAGAAGATAACAAAAAACATGCATGCCCAATCTAAAATTTTGCCTTTCGTCTCCCGGATCGGGGTTGGCTTGTCAACTGACGCTCGTGAACCGAATCCTGTTCCTCCCCGGCATTCTGTATGTGGTCGCACAACTGCAACAGCGGCAAGCTCCATCGAGGGGCAAGGGGATAGGAAGGCCGTGGATCGGGCATCCGCGCCCACCCAGCGCAGGGTACGCGTAGATACATCGAATCGAACACACTCTTTCCCCATGTCGAAATCAAAAGTCGTCAAACATGCCGTCTAGCTCTTCCAACTCGACGTTCTCGGGACTGCGCAAGTCCCAGTCGACGGTGGCATCGGCCCAGGCGTTGCACTCGTCGAAATTGCGTTTCATCGCGCTGAATGAGAGATGGTTCATCGTGGGCTTCATCGCGGGGCTGCTGGCGAAGACGGAGGAGTTGAGGACATTCAGGTTCCGAGCTTCGCCGAACAGGGAGTCGTCTAAGCTTCGTGTTGGGTGGTCCGTCATCTCCGAGGGCACTCCACTCATCCGGATCTCTGCGCTCAGTTTGCGCTTCTGCATGCCCCGCGCGGTCTGGGTAAATTCCTTTTCGTCTTTCTCGAGGGGGGGCGACGTGGCTCGGTGGTGGCGCGGCGTCTGGGTGGCGCGGGCAGAGAAGGACCCAGTGGGGGTGGGTGGCGTGGTCACGTCCTCGTCCTCGTACTCAGGGGAAGAGAGGTCGACTTCCGGGGAAGGAGAGAGTTCCCTTCTCCGTTCGGCGTCGGCCTCGTCGGATCTCGAGGCGGCGCTGGATACGGAGGGCGAGATGATGGCGCGGGACGGGAATGGTATGGTCAGAGGGTCGGGCATGGCTTGCCGCGGGCATGTCGTGAGGTAGAAATATGTTCTTCGAGGATGCAACGTCTCGAGTTCCTTTGCGACGGGACACGGCGCCAGGGCTGTCCACGTCCGCTTGAGATAGGAGGAAAGTCGCGACGAAATGATCGCAGATGGGTTCGCAGACCTGCGCAGGTTAGCGTTGCGTTGTAGCGAGGCGCCGAAGCACTTACTGTTCGACAATCTTCAAGCTCTGCGACAGGATAGCCGCAAGTTCCTTGACCAGATGAGGCCGGTTACCGGTCTTCTGTAGCTGAACCAGGACGGCTTCGACAATCTCGTCCTTGATTCCGACCCAGTCAATCTCCTGGGGCTTCACCCCTTCCAACCCGTGGGCTTCGGCATCGGGCGACGGTGGCGGTGTGTTGTCGTATTTTAAACTGGTTCTCTTCGGAGGAGGTGACATTGACGACGCGTCTCCATGCGACCGTTTGATTTTCTTGGATGGGGGAATTTCAGCCGTCGGGGCGACTGAAGGCGGTGAGAGTCGGGCGGCCGCTCTGGAGGCGTGAGTTACTGGCAGATGTATGCCGAGCGAAGGCAACGAAAGCGACTTGCGTCGAGTGTTATAAGGCATGGTTTGCGATTTCGATTCCGCCGCCATGGTGATCCTCTGGAGTGGTGGTGGTGGTGGCTGGCGACTGGCGACTGGGTAGCGACTCTCGAATGCCTGCCGGGGCGAATATCGCGAGCGGTTGTTGTATTGCGCAGGATGCGACAAGGGGGGGAGGTGATGGGATGCGATTGTGTTTGGGAGAAGGCGAATGCAACCGATGGGCAACACAACGGGGGGGGGCGTTTTGGTTTGTTGTGTGTTCCTGCACGCTGATCTTAGGAGGCGCTTGCTATTGCTATTGGTGGGCAGGGCCGGGCAAGGAGGGCGTCGGAATGGAATGCACGACGTCGGTGGTAGCGTGGTGTTTACAAGGAGCCGGGGAGGTCTGGGTATCCGGAATCTGGATAGGGCGCGTAGTACTAGTACATGCGTACATCTGCAGACGGAATCCTCTTCTCCCCCTTCTGTTTTCCACCGATTTGGGCGGTAAGGGATGAGTAACAACACCGCTCCTTCAGGAGGCTATTCTCTTTGGCTGGGGGGGGGGGGGATGGGATGGGAAGGGGTCTTGGGTGTCGGAGGGCAGGGCAGGGCAGGGCAGTTCTCGAGGAGGAATGGGTGGTGCCGTGGACTGTGTGATACGAGGCGGATTGGGGTGACACTGAGCTGTTGAACCGGGAATGCTGAAGTTGTGCACCACACGCGCTGGAGGTAGGGAGGGTATGTAGTTGTAGTTGTAGTTGTAGTTGTAGTTGTAGTTGTCGTTGTATCTATCACTCGCGGGCGAAGGGCTGGAGCTGTGGAATCCGGGGGGAGGGGGGGGGAAAGAGAGATGAGGGAGAGAGATGGGGGGAGCGATGATGCAACAGACGTCGAGGAGTACAGATGCTAACAAATGATGTGATGGAATCTGGCGATGGATGGAGGTCCGAGGGCGACTTTCATTTCTCGATCCGAGCAGATCATCGATTGTTAGATTAGGACCGGTAGGCAGGCAAGCTAGTAGTACGTAGTAGTAGTACGTAGTAGTAGTAGGCAGCAGGTCAAGAGTCTCCAGACTACGGGAAGGGGGGAACAGATGGGACGGGAAGGCCAAGGTTCAGGATGTTTGTTGATGGGAGGGGAGGGGGGGAAGGGGGGAAGGGGGAAGGGGGAAGGGGGAAGGGGGGGGGAGATGATACAGAAATTGTACGGAATAAGGAGAAGGAAGTAATACTCCGTAGTCAGTCTAATTGTAGGGACCGTTCGTTGACCCGAAGGGAACAGACCAAGATGGTGATAATCACAGAATAGTACGTAGTAGTAGTAGTCAGTCCATGGGGGTTCTGGCTGGGACTGTAGAGTGGCCTGTCCGTTGGTTGGAAGCAAATTTCTGGAAGCAACGATTAATAATCCACGTTTGTTGATGCTGTACAGTATAGTATGGAAGCTGACCCAGCCAGCATCTACTACGGTAGGGACCCATATCCATATCCTAATCATACCCATACCCATACCCGTATCCATATCCATATCCATATCCATACCCATACCCATACCCATACCCATGTCCATGTCCATGTCCACCGGGGGCCCAGGATCCCGAGCAGGCCCAAGCGACACCATCGATCCTATCGTCTGATTGGCAAGAAGCGAAGGGATGGGGGACCGTAAGGGGGTTTGGAAGCCACTTCTGGATATGACGATGAGTGACGACGGGGTCGGATCGATCATGCGCAGACGGTACCGGGCCCTACGGTATCTACGGTGACGCGCGAGCGGCGTCACATTGTTGACTTCTGTCCAGGAGAATGCCGAAAGACAGAACAACGTTGAGGACCTACCGAACTACTACGTATTACAAGTAGTAGTAGTACGTAGTACTACTACGTCCTGACCGACTACCGAGCCGAAGAGAAAGCGCTTGATGGATTGAGTTTTTTTTTTTTTTTTT